ATATAAAAGATAAGTCAAGCGAGCCTTCCAAAAAAGTATTGTAAAATAATATAAAAAAATTTTTTATCAATTGTGTACCGATTTTGTGACGTTTCAACGTTTCCCCCTGTTTGGCTAGCTCAATAATATTAGTCATAAAATCTTAAAAAGTACTTTAAGCTTGAGTATATTTGTTATTATAAAACTTTACTTAGTAAATTAGAAGTAATGTATATCTATAATTTTATTTGAGTTATTTACTATTTTTATTTTTCGAGTTGTTATAATACACTTGACTTTGTGATTTTATTGGCTAATGATCAACAAAAAAATGGTGATAATAATAAAGTATAATAATTAATTTTAATATTTGCATGTCAAATAATGATGCTTAATGAAACTGTTAAAATCGGACAAAACTTTGGATTTTGTTAGTTACTTGAGTGAATTTTGTTGGGCATTATTAATGCAGAAAGCAGACAAAATCCTTTAACTGAGCTGACAATTCTTATGATAAAAGATTTTCAAAGTTCTTTAAAGTGTGATTACAATTCACCGACTCAATAAAAAAAAAAAGTTATACAAAGTCATAAAGTGAAAACTTGTGTCATGTAAACTACCTTTTTATGAGTGATACATGTTAGGATAGCTACTTTTACTGCATGTAATTAAAGTTATTTTTTAGTAAAACATGTAAATTAAAACTACATTAAACTTAATACTGTATCCAAATTTCTATGTAGATTATGGTTTTGCATAATATTTTTGTGAAATTTTACTAGTTGCGTATACTGTAAGCCCTAATAATTTAATATTTTGTGATAAATTTTGTTGAAACAGATATTATAGCTCTATAAGCGATGCTACAAAGCTATCACTTTTTAATTTTAGAGGATTTTAAATAGTGACTGAATTAAGTCTTATTTTATTATTAAATGACAATTTGTACTCTTGTTTATTATATAACCCAAACGATAATATTATTTTAGTCTCAAATAAATTTTTATATATTAATCTGTACTATTTTGATATTAAAGTAAACAAGAAAATGTATATTTATATTTTTCACCTTTTATTTAAAATTTTTATAAATATTTTCAAATGAAAAAGAGATAGTAATCAAATGATTGGAATCTACAATTCGTTCGGATTCCCAATTTAATCCTAAATCAGAAAATCTTCTAACTAAATGATCTTCGATATATTTTCAGTATTATCTAAAATAATAATCTCAGGGTGCGTAATTTATAAGAACCAAACTTTTGTAAATCTTGTAGTCATAAAAATGTCTATCACTTGAATAATTATCAAATTACACGAATACCACTACTTCCAATTTCAAACTTGATATTATTTATGAGATAATTACAACAGCGAATTATCAATTCATCAAAGCCCCAAATGATGTTATTAAGATTATTTCGAGCAGTTTCTAAAGCTGATGAACAAATTATTGTTGATTTATTAAAAGGAATTTGAAAGTAATCAAGTTCTTCTTCAGGTTGTTTGCAAGTAACATTTTCAGATTCAGTGGGCCATGCAACCTTTCCAGTTTGATAGAATTCCATTATGTAATAAAATGCTTCACTATTACAATCAAAAAATATTTATTTCCCTTAGTTGGATGCCTCAAGCCTCTATTTCGCTCTTGAAACATTGTTTCCAATAAAGTTTCTGGTTATGCTTCGAGAGTTGATTTAAAACTTTCATACTAAGTAATAAATAAATAAATATATACAGTCGTCCTCCCATACAATCACACAGTTGGGCACATAGTAATTTTTTTAAAAAATGTGCATATAAAGAGGTTGTGCTTATATAGAGGTTTTTTTCTTATGAATTAAATCATAGTTTGGCCTAAATAAAAATGTGATTACATATGATGTGATTATATGGGAGGTGATTATATGGAGGGACGACTGTAATAAATATTACATAAGGAAAATATATTCAAAGATTTATTACTATCCCTAATAGAGTACCTTTTTACCCCAACATTTGAAATAATCTTTTCATCTGATATATTGATTGGAACTTGAATAGATATGATGTGGGCTTGAGAATTCTCAGATTTTAATAACATTTGTTGATTACAAATGAATCACCATAAGGAAAACTATATATACTTTGACAATTCTATTTTAGTTCTAATTCAGAAAATTTATGAACTAATTGCTTTTCAATTTGGTTTTTCATATTATTCAGGATATCAAACGCACATCTTCTAAATTGGATAAGACGTCTATCTAATTTATTGTTGTTATTGATATAAATTCTTAAAGAAATTTTATTGTCAAAATTTACAAAATTTACATAATGACTAGGATTATTTGCTCAAGACTTGAAATGAATCGATCAATTGTATTTACACCAGTTTCTGATGCCTATGAAGAAAATATTTTCGATTTACTAATTTGAAAATAGTCAAATTCTTCTTTAAGATGTTGATAAGTTGCAGTGGGCCATAAAAGCTTTCCAGTTTGATAAAATTCTATTATATAGTAATGCTCTACCATTACGATCAAATAATCTAACTAGATTTTTAATGTATTCGTTTTGATCTCGAAACATTGTTCCAAATAATGTCTAGCTGTGTAGTGAGTGTAGATTGAAATATTTCATACTACATATTGTAAGGGAGAGTTTGTACTGTCATGCCGAGTTTAACTCCGATGGTTGACGTTAAAAGGGTCACATGAATTGGGCAATTAATTAGATATCATGATTTATTGGCATTTATAACAAAAAAGAATGTAAACTTATATTTATTTAGGAGAGGAATTTTAAGAGCATCTTCTCCCTTAACTAAGGATGAGAGCAAGCACTTATATACATGATAATTTTTTAGAGTGTGATCATAACGACTACAGCGTACTTGCGACAGCTTCCGCGTACCACGTTTTTCGAGGTTGCATGAACTAAGCCTCCAACAATATATTATAAAGCCTAATACTACTAAGGTAATATTAATATAGCTATGATAGCACAATTATGGAAGGTAAGTGACAACTTAAAGAATTAGACAAATACGGAAGTGAGGAGACACAGGAAAAATTAATTGTTACAATATTAAAAAATAGTATAATATGTAAGTTTATGTGTAAGTAAAAGTATCTTAAAACTTACTATTACGCTTTATACCTTTACTCCTCCGATATTTAAAATAATCTTTTCTTCCGACATGTTAAGTGGGCTTGGGAAAGTATGAGTTGTTTTTTTTCATATGCGTACCGTACGTACGTATATATTTTTTTTGCACTTTTTAGTGTAACTATTTGTAAAATTATGTAGACTATACTATTTAATAAATCAATTAATTAAGACCATAACTAAATTTAGAATATTTCGTATCATTACGTCTACTTAAAAAATACCGGGAATCTTTATTGTAAAAAATTCTTTTTATATTCTTTGCGAATCCGGCCTTTTAAAATTAGGCGAATCAGTTTTTGCGAGAACATTTGAGCTTTATTTGCTAGAACATTTCGGACTATTTCGGAGTTTACTTCAACTTTAGTCTTATTTCTATATATGTAACTTTTGTTCTTGCGAATCATATAAAGCTGAGAACCTCGCAAAATTTTAATAATTCGAATCTATGATAAGTCAATTACATTTACAAACTTATAATAGTATTCGAATATTGTACCTATAACAAGAATTCCCATCCTGGTATAACATATGTGTAACGTGAAATCGAATGCTATTAAAAAAATTGTCAATAACTTTAGGAAATTACCTTTTGCCTAACAAGAAACAAACTTTTCCAAAATTTTATTATATAACGTGTCTTATTCCGCCCTAACCCTAACGTCAAGCAAAATATAACAAATAAAAATTTAGTATTGACACGTGATTTGTATCACGTGTGGAAATAAGTTTATTGATGTAAATAACCATCACAATTTTGATTAATTTAACACGATAGTTTTTATAGTTAATATTGTATGTCATGGAATTTCATGAATAAAAGATGCCCACAATGCACAAACTTTATAAAGCGTTGCTTACACTTTTGTCCTTCTAAATACGTATAATTAATTAGGTTAGATCGCGGTTTCTTCAAAAATTTCGCGCGGGATAGGATCACAAATTTGCGGGTTTCTTAATTTTTTGTGTCGAGAAGAAACCATGCAAAAATTATTATTAAAAGTCAAATTTCTTGTTCTTCCTAAAATTTGGAGCGTTATTTCGAATATACAAAGGTTATATAATGATATATGTAAATTTATCAACATATAAAATTTATATAAAATTAAATCTAAATTTTACGATATATAAAGCTATATAATTATTATACACATTAGATATTATGACTAGGGATGTGTGAATGCAAGTTATTTTGACCTTGCATCATATAATGCGACATTATGCTGATGCAGTATGCAATTTTGTATAGTATATTGTGATCTCTCAAAACCGATATCCACGGCGAACAGATTTTTGTATCATTACTGAGTGGCTATTATATTGAAAACATAATAAATCATTAAGTTAATATCGCGGATGTGTCTATAAAATAATTTTTCCAGTGAAATAAAGTGCCTATAAAGAGAACAAAATTACATAATAGATTCTATGTGCATTTTTAAATTTTAAGTAACTTGCATCGCATAATGTAGCATGTAGCATGCAACATCGCTTGCATAATGCATATGGCACATCTCTAATCATGGCATATAAAAGTTACTTAAATATAATACATGAAGTTTATAAATATATAACATTTATATAATCTTTTTTTATAAAATTACATTTTTTAAGTTTAAATAAATTTTTATATATGTTCTATATTAAAAAATATATAAAAAGTAATATATATAATTTTTATATAGTATTCTATATAATATCTACATAAAGTTGTAGATTTTATAAAAAATGTACTTGCTGAAGTACTTCTAAGTGTAAGATGCTATATTAAATCTATCTATTCTATCTTATAAGACAGTATCGTATGTCAAGCTCCTGCATAAGTTACGTTCTTGATCTTTTTAATGCTTTATACCAGTACGATCACATGAATGTGTAACATGAAATGTGAGAGGGATGGTTCCATTCAACTTTATCGTCGTGGCCTAAGTAGAATTTGAAATAATTCCTATTTTGGTAGGAGTAATGATTTTCGTTTATTCATTTTTAGTAAGTGTTGTAATTTCGAATTTCTAGATGTCAATGTAATTACAGCGCATGAGTAATGTTGCACATGAATTTTGAATGAACACACGTGATTTAAAACTGTGCTGATCAAAAGATTTTCGATTTTTTCGGGATGATTTCATTGTTACGATGAATGGCTTGTCATTTAAAGTAAGAACATTTATAAATGCCAATCATTATGATATAATTGAAATGTCAGGTAACTGGTTATAATGTTAATATTTACAAGATTATAAATTAGAAATATTTATAACATATACATGTAAGCGTGACGACCACGAGATATTTTAATTGCATGCGCCACAAATGTATAATAATGATTACGCGAATAATTGTGTGGTTAAAAAATGTTTTATTTAAATTTAGATTAGCCGAAATTGTAATATATATTTGAAATCGATTCTATGTCATAATAAGGAAGATTTGGTTGAAAAATATTATTGCTTTATGAATAATAAATAAATTAAAATGTAATAAATATTGCGTTGTGTAATAGATTTAATGAATAATCAATATGTGCTTGAAATTAACTATATCGATCAATAGAGAATTTAATAAATAATCAATTTAATAATGTATTTGTTATTAATTATATCATTGTGATGGAATATAATTGCAATGTAATATAATTTAAATAAATCACATCAACGTGAGAGGTTTAATAGATGTATTTAAAATTAATTATATCATTTTGAAAGGTTTAATGAGCGATCAATATCGATTTAGTAGTAATTTAGATTAGCCGAAATTGTAATATATGTTTGAAATCGATTCTGTATCATAATGAAGATTCAGTTAAAAATATTATTACTCTGTGAATAATAAGTATATTAAAATGTAATAAATATTGCACTGTGTTAGAAATTAATTACATCATTGTGATAGATTTAATGAATAATCAATATGTGCTTGAAATTAACTATATCGATCAATAGAGAATTTAATAAATAATCAATTTAGTAATGTATTTGCTATTAATTGGATCATTGTGATAAAATGTAATCGCAATGTAATATAATTTAAATAAATTACATCAACATGAGAGATTTAATAGAAGTATTTAAAACTTATTATATCATTTTGAAAGGTTTAATGAGCGATCAATAACGATTTAGCAGTAATCAATATGCTAATAAATTTTAAATTTAATTATATCGTTGTGAGAAATTTCAAATGTGTCATTGTCGTAATGTATTTGAAAATAATATATAGTCGTGAAACATTTAATGTATCGATATCGTACTAAATTTGTCATTTATATGTCATAATAAAATAATATTTAACTGAGAATTATAAATAGTCGGTAACTAAAATATTTAATGTAATTTATATCGAAAATATTTAAGTTAATGATATATATTAATGAAATACCAAAATTATAATCGTTAAGTAATTTTTTGAAAATTTGACAAATTGTTAAGAAGATCGGTTTACTTTCGACACTTATGACTATGTAAGAAAAAAAATTGCTGTTAAAATTAATTAAATATGTGCTGATAACTCTTTTTTAGTGACCGTAAACAAAAACGTAGACAAACACAAACTGCCAAGAGAATGCACGCGAGCTATCGTCAACATGAAAGTGAACAGAAACGTAAACGTCGAAAAATGCAACGTGAAGAAAACCAAAACATACGTATTGAAAAAGATAACAGTGCAAAAGAAGCGAACTTACCATTACGTATTTTGGAAATGAACAATGATTTTAATTTAACAACAGAACGATATGCGAATTGGCCATGGCCAATTGACAAAACCATAATAAATAATGCGTTAACTAAATTTCGTGAAAGTGTTAGCTGTAATACGCTTAGGGAACTATCTTGTGCAGTGTGTTCCAGTCTATTTACAAGTAAACATTTATTTATTATTACCATAAAAGAAATACAACTATCACTACTTGAAATTAATAAAGAATTAGAGAAT